CCAATTTGAGCAGCCCTAAAATTCCATTGGACATTAGTGCCATGTAAGCAAAACGTGCATAAGCAGCTCGATTAACGGTTAAATAACAAATGGCACCTGTTCCTGCTAAAATCCCATAACATAACGCAGTTGAAAGTTTTCGATTGCTCATAAGTGTGGATCTTCATTAAAAATATCTTTAATTGTATGACAAAATATAACTATGTTGTTTAATCTGTAACAAAATACGACTAATTATTAATAATAGTATTGTAAATAATGGAACTTCAACCACTCCGTTTTTAAACCCCTCAGCACTCAATTTTGAAGACAAGTCTCTTTTACGCCCATAATTTTATTATCCTCCAAACCTTTGCGTTTACAACACCCACCATTATTATATATTCCCAAACCTTACATTTACAACAAGAAGCTACTCACTTCACACACCATTTTTTACCTCCCATAAACCTTAGAATTACAATTACAACTATAATCTATACATCCGTACTCCACAAGTTTGGATAAATACCCAAGTATCTCCCAGGCAAGTAAAAGGCTAGCAAAAGAACTCAATGGAACGATATCTTGGGGCTAAGACGCATGTTTTTTTAGTTTTTTTAGTTTTTACACCCTTTAGACCTCCTGTGCTTCACCCTAATCCGTCTGTAGTCTGGCAGCACTGCAGCCTGCGGCTTATTGTACCACCATTTGAAGGTCCTACTACTTTCCCATTCACACCCTCATCCATTCTCATTCATTCCACGTCGTCGATGGTTAAACGCTAGTCGGATGAATCCCATGGTGACACGGCCCATGGTGGAACCTCCCTGCGGTCACCCATCCACGACGTGACCGGAGAGATCACTGCTTAAGTGTTGCGAGTAAGTGGATGCACACTAAGCTCGCGGCTAGCCTCTCCGGCATGTTAATGTACTTATGAACAAAATATCGAAAGACTGTATATGTCTGAGAAAAAACAAGCAACGGGGATCCGTACAAGACATTAGTAAACTTGATCTAGGAAAGCATCTCAAGTTGGCGTGACGATTTATTACACTGTTTTACACTAGCATTAACGTTCACTGCACTAACTCAAAAGGTTTCATCCTTTTGAGCCTTCTGTTGAGTGTAGAGTTGTCCAGTAATTGCAGCGCTTCATCGTGTGAGTGGAGTCGAACCTCATGTTTCGCAGAAAACATCTTTATTTCTTCTTCGATTGTTAGCATCTTCAGGTCTTTATGAAGATTATCGTTTCGATAGAACCAAGGTGCATCAACGATGCATCTTAGGACTTTTCTTTTATCTTTATCTTTATCGGTTGTAGGCAGGTAGGGTTAGGTTTGGCTCATAACACTGCGGCCTCTTGGGTCTATTGTATTCCCCTGCTTTCCCCGTATTCAGGTGCTATCTTTGGAATAGTCCTGTGTCTTTGGTTAGTTTTAATAAGTTCTCTACCAAGTGTTCCTAGGGCGTTCTTTCTGGTTCTAGGCCGAAAAATATGAAACGTCGCCTAGTAAGAGCTTCACATTCGAATATCACATGGTATGAGGTTTCTTCCTCTTCCATGCAAAGTCTACACGTAATGGGATCATTGTGTAATCCCATTACATGAAGGTGTTTCAGCAAGCAGTGCCCCGTTAGTAATCCCACAATGGTGGATATCTTAGGCCTTGTGAGTTGTAGTGCCTTAGTAGCCATGCGTGGGTTTGGTTCCCTTAGCATGAGTTTACTGATTCTGTGCCCTTTTATCTGTTGCCAGTAAATTTGGTGTTTTGTGGTTATCCACCTGTTCACTGCTTGTCGAGCAGAGGTTTTGCTTATCCCAAATACAGGTTCGGGTCCTGTGAATGGTAGATCTGATCCCTCTTTGGCGAGTTCATCAGCCTTTTCATTTCCTTGGATACCTTTGTGCCCTGGTCCCACGCTAGTTTTATCTTGTTGTGAGTTGCCAGATCATTTAGTATTCCGAGGCAGTTCCAGACAAGCTTTGACTTGATTCTGTTTGAATCAAGAGCCTTTAAGGCTGCTTGGCTATCTGAGAGAATTAGGATGGTTTGTTTTTTGTACTTCCTTCTTAAATTCTCTCGTACACACAATTCAATTGTATGTATTTCAGCCTGAAATACAGTGGCAAGTTTTCCCAATGAGACGATGATGTCACATATGGGTTTAACTCCATGTACACCAGAGCCTGTTCCCTTGTTAGTTTTAAATCCATCCGTATACCATACGAGACCGCTAAGCAAGTATCTATCTATCCTTATTTACCTCGTTCCAGTTACAGTTGACGTGGAAGAGTCTGTTAAAGGTTAGGAGGGGTGTCATGTGATCTAATCCCATATTTAATATACAATCATTTACTTCATGTGTTATTCTGGTATGTTTTATATGACCCAGTGGGTTTCAGTTGTTGGAGATTTCCAGTCTGTATGCACTCCCCCTTTATGACTAGGTCAAGGGGTGGGATGAGGTGTAGAATGATTTCCATAGAAGTTGTCGGTGTACTTCTCAGTGCTCCTGTAATACAAAGGCATGCCAGCCTATGTACTCCTGAGAGGGTATTGAGGGCTGTTTCCTGGTTTACTTTTGGCCCCCAAACAACCGCTCCATAAGTTATCATGGATCTTGTTATTGCTAAATATAGCCAGTGGACCATTTTTGGTTTTACTCCCCATGTTTTTCCAAATGCCCGTCTCCCTACAATGAGAGACATTTTATATTTGTTGGTCACTTGTTGGTTCCAAGTAAGTTTGTTATCTAGGATTAGACCCAGATATTTTACTTGGTTCGTTTTGAAAGCCTTCCTCCAAACAGAGTCGGAGTTTCTAAAACCTCCAACCTTGTTTTCCGAGTAAAGGTTATGAGTTGTGCCTTGTCAGGGTTTATCAAGAGGTTTTCCCTAACTCACCACATTTCTGTCAGCCTAAGAGCTCTTTTCATGAGTTCAAAGACTGTGGTTTGGTGTTTCTCTCGGATAAGGATGACTATGTCATCGGCATATCCTTAGGCGTACAGCCCTTGATTGTTTAGTGTTTTCAGCAGTTCATCTGCCACTAGGTTAAATAGTATAGTAGAAAGGACTCCACCTTGTGGGCTTTCCCTGTGGATATTCTTAGGACTTTGTTTTGGAAAACTTGTATCATGTTGATATTACTCTTGCTGGCTCATCCCCATAGCTGTATGCCATAAATCCAGATGGGTTTTAGAATTTGTTTATAAATCAGTTTGTTGTATACTGACAATTTGGCTTTTCTTCCTAGGAGAAAATACATTTTTTTGAATTTAAGTTCAAGTTCTTTACGCTTTTCTTATGTTCTCTTTCCATTTAAGTCTTACATCTAGGTTCATCCCTAGGTATTTGGCGGAATCGTGATGCGGAATAACGTCATTGTTTATTCTTATTTGTTTATGTTCATTTGGTCGAAGAGTAAAATCAATATGCACTGATTTAGTTTGATTTATTTTTATTTTCCACTTTTTTGTCGATCGATTGATTCTGTTGCAGGTTTTCTGAAGTTTTTCTGAGGTCTCCGTATTAGTTCCGCCAACTGCCAATATGCAGTGTCATCCGCAAATGCTGCTATTTTAACACATTGTTGTTGAGGGATATCGCTGGTGTATAATAAATAAAGAACCGGTCCTAGCACACTGCCTTGTGGGACACCTGCTTTAATTTCTTTCATTTCGGAGTATGCCTCGTCTTGCTTTACTCTAAACATTCTTCCCGTTAGGTATGATGTCGACATATTGTCTAGGGAGCATTTTTTCAAATTTCTGTAGAAGATAGTGAGTGCAGATTTTGTGAGGAGTAGTATTCATATTCACATTCTGGCAGAATATAACGGCACTATCTAATCCAAGAGCATATAGAAGAGGGTGATCTGTCTAGCTTGGAGACACTCCAAATCCTAACATCCTTGGAAAGATAGGATTGTAAGGGTCGTTATAGACGTAGATAGCTATTTCCTTGTGCCTGAGAGTCATATGGGAGAAAAATAAATATTTTAGCTCCTCAATGTATCTAACACCCCATAACAATATAACATACTATTACGGTTACTGTTGTAGTTGTAAGTGTAAGGTATGGGAAGATAAGAACAGATCGACGAGAAGCTCCTAAATGTAAAGTTTGGGGGATTACAATTGATGTACAGAATTATAATTTCAATAAAATATGGATTTTGTAAATTAAATTCTGAAAATTTAATGCCTTTAATCCCTTTTGGGATTGAAAAACCCTTTCTAGGATTTCCATTTATTTTATGCTTTATTATTTGAAATTAAACGCTTTGTTACTTTGAGTTTTAGGTAAGTGTATTTTGAATAAATGTATTTATCTTCTTATGGTAAAAATTTTTGATAAGACTACTTAGTAAAAACTTTCTAGATATTAATTATAATAGCTAAATCAAAACAAACTATAATAACTAAAGAGTATTTAGAATTGGTGGTATTTACGTACAAAATAGAATTCATACCTGGAAATTAGATACTGTTTAGTTAGACAACATCAATTTGGATATAGAAAGGATTTAATGATAAACTTGAATTTTAAGTTCTTGTGACAGTATGAATCATTCTGTCATCTCTTGTACAATTTTTTGAGAACTATATTAGACATATGGAAGTTTGACGGTACTTACATCTATCACAGAGATAATCTATCATATAGTGGGCAGAGATTAGGGACATAAAGATAGGAAACGCAACGATCGCAGCAACGATGGCGTCATCTATGTGTTTCATATGTTAACTATACAGGTATACGTCGTTTGTAGACAGACCGTCATTGTTAAGCATGAGCGTTTCCTATCTTTATGTCCCTTATCTCTGATTAGTTTAAGTCTTATATAGATACCAACATGAAATAACAAAAAAATACTTGACAAGTCATGACAGGTGTATATAATACAGTTTGAAAATGTCTTGGAGACTTTATATTTTTTTTACAAACATAGGTACGTATTTAAATTTGCTGCAGCATCTATACAGAAAACTAAAAACATTTTATTTTTAGGTTTGGTACAGATACAATAAAATTACTAATCAACATAAAAAATTATGAAACTAGAAGAAATTTTATGAAGTTATGTCTGCTATTTCCCATTTAGCTCTCGCTCTTACTGGATTTTATTGCCATTTTTATGTAAAACATAACGTGTATCTATTTGCCCCTTCTGCATTTTTGGTTGTAATAATTAATTCACTAGTGAGCATATGGCAACTGTTAGGTAAAATATTTTAACTTTAATTTTCGATGTTAGCTTTCATATGAGTACTACTCATATGAATTTTCTGTATTATTTTAGTTCCAAACCTGGGTCAACGTTGGATTCAAAATAACTTTGATCCACACGTTGGCAACAACGTTAGGCACTAAAAACGATGCACTACAATTTAATTATTATTTTAGGACAACCTTTTTCGACACAAAAAGTAAACAACATTTATAATATTACGTCTGTCGCTCAAGAAATCCTATTTTTACCATTAGTGACGTCTGCAGTTTTGACTAAATATGATTTTTTATTCGACATGGTATTTTGCAATATTATACTTTCTAGTATACCGGTTCTTTTTTATATTATTGATAAAAACGAAATAGGCGAAGATTTGTTAGACGGTAAGTTTTATTAGTCTATATAAAAAAATACGAAATATTAATAGATTTTATACAATGTACCCAATTCTCATCTCCCTTCCTCTTATTTACAAAACTAAACTAGATAAATTGAGTGTGACTGCAGCGGTAAGTCGTGCTTACAAAATAAGTGGGGTCAGTTAAAAAACAATGTATACCATTAAAAAAGAGGAGGAACAAAACAATGGCGAATTGAAATCTTCTACAAGAAGAAAAAGCGCATAAGGCAAATTGTTGTTTACTTTCTAATTACAGTAACAAACTGGCTGTCAGCATTGACAGCGCGACATAGCGCAAGTACAATAGGATCAGTGGTGTAGCCACGGGATTTTGGGGGTCAGAACCCCCCCTTCCCCTTAGAGGATCCTCGCGTCACCATTTCCGCTATAGTACTGGCGTTGATCACTAATGACGGTTTGGTTTTATTATCTTTCTTGATTAAACCCTCCCCATAGTTCTCAAAATTCCCTCCAATGAAAAATGGCTACGCCACTGAATAGCATGATTACCTTTTTTGCAGGTATCACAATTCTGAATTGTTTCATGTTGGGCCTTGTTTCATTCATGTTTTCGAATCTATTTGGATTAGCTGCCAGTGGAACATATGCAATGAACTACTTCCATATAAGAAATTATCAAGGAACCATCTTTGGATTTAGCGAAACCGATTTATATAACTATGTGTTGTGTGTATTTGCGATGTGTAGTGTACAAGCTATCAAGTAAATTATTATTTTTATTTTAATAAGAATAAATTCTTCAAAAATTTTATCTATTATTGTGTAAGTATTCATAATTCTAAGAGATTGATGTGTTTGCTCTTACATTTTGTAACAACCTACTTTGACTAAAGCAACTGAGAAGACTGCACTGTTTTTTATTATTTGGTTATAAAATAAAACAATAAAACTTCTTTTATTTTCGAAATTTCATAGTAGGTATAACTTTTACAACACAACACTAGACTAACTATTGTTGTAAACTTAGTAAATCACTATTACTCAAGAAAATTTATCACAGCTTTGTCATTGTGTAATTTTAACTTAAAAAAACAAATTTTGACATGGCGGAAGCACGCCTATTTAATAAACACGATGTTGGTCTTTGGAATCAGGGTTGGTTGGAATGAGAATTGTATTTTGCCGGGTAGTGATCATTCGAATGGTAAATTCATTATTCGAATCTTTTGAAATGTCTGAAATTGTAATAAACGAAGAAAGATCTATTTTATACTATGGGAATAGGTACTCATATTTCTCTCAAGATTTTCATAGGAAATATCATAAATCAACGTGGAAATAGTATTTTTAAAGCCAGAGAGAAATAAGTAACTGTTTTTCTCGGTTCTTTCAAGAGAATTAAAATTCTCCCAAGAATTCTGCTCCTAAAAATTTTGATTATCACTGGCTTATAACATTTCCGATGAAAATCATTCCTCTTGAGTTTGAAAATAGGTCCCTATGTAACTTGTTGACATATGGAGTAAGGTAGGCCGCTAAAATTACTTATTTCTTCTAAGTAAGATACACATGCAAAGTTTTGTGACTTCGCGTTAGGCGTACCACGTTCTGATTGGATAGATAGTCGGGGAACAACCCAGCTACTTCAAACAGTAGGTAGCACGCCGGCGCCGTAGGCCAAAAAACGGTTGCATGAAAAATAAAAGTAAATATTGACGTATGCCGTTTTAGATTTTGATATATTGCGTTCTGATTAGATATTTTAACTTTTGATACATTAATATTGAATTAATCAGATTGCAGAGTAGACCATTGATGCAAATAATAAATCATTCGAATGGTATGATTTGAATACTCGATAAATTCGATTTTCAATCGTGAATATTCGATTATGCCCATCACTACTGCCGGGTGAAAGCGATGCCACACAGATCGGCATCTAGCGTCGTTTGGAATTTGACCAATCGCCTGCAAGGAAGCTTTCACATGATAGCGTCTATGCGCTAGTTCAGTGTGATGTCATTCCACTGACATTTAATTCTAACCAAACTTTTAACAGAAACATCAATAAATTTGACATATACGTTTTTACTGTTTTAAGTTTATTTTTAATTATTGTTTACAAGTCATAAAAAATAGTTTAAAGGTATGTAATTTGTAACCAAACGATTGTATATTTGATGCATGTTATCTACTTACTTTAGGAATATATTTATAAAAGTGAAAAACCGATATAATTTAGGTAAACAAAACGAACAAAACGCACTCAAAAAATCTATTGTCACTTTAATTGTCAGTGGAACCATAATTACATCATCACAGAACCAGCGCATTGACAATTTGCCTTTGTGACGAAAATGACATTATGTCTTCGAGTTGTTAAATGCCAGGGTCGGACTACGTTATGTGTTTTAATTCAATTATATATGTTGAATGTATATTCAACAATAATGTTCAGCATAAAAAGATAAAAATAACGAGTTATATGTTTTATAAAAATATCTTGTAATGAATTTGAAGAGCACAGAGGGAAAATGATCAGAGTCATAAAACTTTTCCTAGAATAAACAAAAGAAAATTTACTCATATTTTTACGCTGTGTGGCTTTTAATTTTAAGTAAAATACAGAGTTTGCAATCGTTTTACTCAAACTACGGCCATACCAGCAGGAAGATTGAGTCTAAAACTACAAGATGGCGGTCGTAGTCTAATTGTATTATATATTTTTAATACTAATAGTTTAATTAAATTTTCATCTATATCTATGTAGACAAAAAATTGCAAAAGTGCTGCAAACCGATGACATAATTAATACAAGTATTTGGAACATCTGTTCCAATTTGCAACCTTTTAGTTTGCACGGAAATGTATTTTTTTTTTTTAAATAGAAAAATAATTCTTTATTTTACTTTAATTTTGTCAGAAAAAATGCAAAAGTTTTGAAACTAGATAAACTTCCTATTTTGGACTTATAAAAACTAAAATACCACTGGAAACATTAACTATATAATGATATAATATATAAGAGCCAGCCAACCTCATATTACTTCCTCCTATTTATTAATCTTACTAAAATCAAATTTGCTTTTCAATTTCTAGCTTTTTGTAAGTAGGTAAAACAGTTAAAAAAAATTGTATAGCCTGTTTTCTTTAAAACTTATTTATAAAAAAAATACAATATTTTGTAGATGTATTTATAAATTTTAAATATTACAAAAGTGTACATGACGAAATGTTAGAAAGATACATTATTTACATTGATAGCCCGTAAACAAAATAATGCAAAGAAACACATCCCAACGTTGCACCAATCCTGAGTAGGTATATTGAAAACTGTATCTTCAAAATCGTTGAGGAAGAATACAATGAATAGATACGTTCCGCAAGCCCATAGACCTGATTTGTTATTATTTTTGATAGATAAATAGGCCATCACAGCGCTGCTAACCAGTACAATAGTTTTTCTAGATTCTACCATCAACTCTCCTTTACCCATAAAATAAAATGTTAAGGGAATGGCAGGAATGGCTATAGCAGCATATGAAAGTTCTTGCTGGTTGTAATATTTATCTAGCAAACTTGCGACGACAGTAGGCAGTACTAGTAATTGTTCTGTTGCAGATGTGTATTTGTAAATCTTATCAACATTTTCACCTAAAACAATAATAATTTTTTTAACAATAAAAGAATGGTCTGGAATATACGTCTTACTGTTGGGAGGAAATGGAATACTAAATTCACAATTTTTTGTGTATTGTTGTTTGTTTTTAAATTAACCCTATATTGCATAACGTTGCCATCAAGCAACATCCATATCTAAAATTATTAAATAGGTTTCACATGCGATACACTTTTCGTAGTTGTATACTGTTGGTTGAAGGAAACATTTGAATCGGTTGACGTAAGAACGCTGCGCACTACAACTTCGCTTGATATCTGTATAAATATATTTAGTGACGAGTCTCGTAGCGTGAATGTTAGGAGTCTTATCGGAGTAGGTATACGTCATTATTTCGAAAACAAAAATATTCCAAATATAAATTTGTAGTATCTAGTACATACAACATACTGTAAGTTACGTTTTTTCTCTTCTTCTTTAAAAAAAAATAAGAAATACTTTCATAGATATCAAAGTGTAAAGTGGATGTTGCTTTGCATTAACTTTGTGCATTACCGTCATAGAATTTCCTACTATTAGCGCCAAAACTTTTTATGCCAGTAAATCACAAAAGAATAGAATTATTCGAGAAATTCCAGAAAATTCCAGAAATTCCAGATGAATCTGATGATAGTGAGGTGGACGATGGGGATTATGATATAGATTATCCTACATTTGAACCAATCTCGGATGATGTAAGTTTTTTTTACTGTAATACGTTTTGTTTTCACTAGAGTTTGTGTTGATTTTAGGAAAGCGCAGGGTCTGATTATGTTGTTGAAGCCCGAGAAAATATATATTCAGATGATAAAAATAATGAAACGGAAAGTCATGATGTGAAAGAACAGGGTAATGAGTCAGCCACTCCTTCAAATAATAAGAAAAAGTTGAAGAAAAGGAAATTAGAATGGACACAAAATAATTCATAGGGATTGTATGTTTTATGTTGATATATAAATTACCTAAACAAAGAATGTATTGGAATTCAGTTACTAGAATTGATCAAATTGCTGACGTCATAAGTGTCAACAGTGATAACGAAAAAATACCCCCAAGAGGCTCTACAAACTATGACAAATTATATAAAATTAGAAGTCTTATTACCACACTAAATGAGAAGTTTTCCAAAATCCCTATGGGTCAGTTTTTATCGATCGACGAACAAATAGTCCCGTTCAAAGGTAAAAGTAGCCTAAAACAATATAACCCTAAAAAGCCGCGAAAATGGGGTCATAAAATATTTGTGTGGTCTGATGTATGGATTTGAAGTATACAGCGGAGTTGAGGAACACTTCAATTTGCCTGACATAGGAGCTTCTGGAAATGTCGTGCTCAGGTTAGCGCAACTGATACCTCAACACAAAGATTTCAAACTCTACTTTGATAATTGGTTCAATGGAATTGAATTACAAATTCAGTTGGATAAAATGGGTACATGCGCTTTAGGTACAGTAAGATCAGACAGAGTAGGTGGAGTTTACCGACGACAAAATCCTAAAAAAAAGGGGAAGAGGATCTTTTGAAGAGTACAAAACTAATATAGATGGATGTCAACTATTAGCCGTAAAATGGTTTAACAACAAAGGCGTTACAATTCTTAGTTCATATGCAGGTGCGTATCCTTGTGGAACAAAGAAGCGATGGGATCGAGCATGCAAACAGCATATTGAAATACAGTGCCCTTCTGTAATACAACTGTATAATAAAAGCATGGGTGGTGTTGACCTGCTAGATTCTCTGCTAGCTTTATATAGAATCACAATACGGTCTAAAAAATGGTACCACAGGTTCTTTTTTCATTTTGTAGACTTAGCAGTTGTACCAGCTTGGCTAGTCTAAAGAAGAGACTGTCATTCATCGCAAATAAATAAAAAAGAGCAATTACCTCTTTTGCAATTCAACTCAGAAATTGCTCAAAGTCTCTGCATGCAAGGTAAAACAGTTACTAGCAAACGAGATCGTCCGAGTTCTACCAATTCTCTTAGCAATGATTTTGTCGAGAAAAAAGAAAATATCACTTAACTGCACCTATCCCAAATGAAGAAATAAGAAAGGATCAGCTAGGCCACTTTCCTGTGTTTGATGAAAAACAGGGAAGGTGTAAGCTTCCAGGATGTAAGGGTATACCAAAAGTAAAATGTGTAAAATGTAAAACTTACTTATGTTTCACAACTTCCAGTAACTGCTTCTATAGATTTCACAATGAATAATAAATCATTTGCACTGTATTTATAAGCAAAGTTACTTTTTATATTTGTAATATTGATAAAAAATATAACTTTCAGAATTACCGTTTATAATTAATTTTTTGCATATTGTTGCCTCAAAGTAACGTTCCAAAATTTTGAAAAATAAAAGTAAAAAAAAAATGTTTATGTATTCAAAACGTTTTCTTACCACAAAATACATCTGCGAAATTACCATATTAATTTTTTTTGTCGTTTTTGTAAATTCATGCAATATAGGGTTAAAGTTATTTTAGAATTGTTGCCTTTCTGATATTTTAAAAAAATGAAATAGTTTTGGCTCTACAGACCGAGGCATGACCGAGGCCCACTCTGTATATACAGGATGTTTCAAAAAGGTATGTCATAAATTCATCCACAGATAGATTACCAAAAAATAAGTGGATTTGGCTATATTTACCTATATCAAAAACTGGCTCCCAACAAAGTTACAGGGTGTTAAACTAACATTTAAAAAAACGTTTTTTTTTGTAAAAAGTTTGCTGTTGCGATCCACTTATTTTTTGGTAATCTATCTGAGGATGAATTTATGACATACCTCTGAGAATACTGGTAAGTTTAAAACTCTACGCCACTGGCGAGCATATTATGGACACTGTTTGCAACGTTGCCAGCGGATCCTAAGAGATCTGTCTTTCTCTCTTCCACTCACTAACAATTTTAAAACAATAACAGTCCGCAATTGTATGGGATTTATGAATGAAAAATTTTGTCTTATGTTGTAATGTCTTTGGTTATTATATTCTTAATCATCCGTTTTATATCAATTAATAAATGTTACTTACATTTTCTAAAAAATAAAAATGTAGGTTTGGGTTGGATTCATAATTGTCCGTACCTGACAGATCGGCCATATTGGGTTGACAACAGCCACATCCAGTGATACTGTTTTGAATGTTTGAATAAGATGCTTATAGCGTCTCCCTACCTTCTAACTCCATGAAACGAACAGTCGCATTTCTTAACATTGAGACAATATAAAAAGATGTTTAAGACTAGTATGTTTTAGAAAACTTAGTTACATATAAAAGTAGGTATTATACAAATATTATGTGGTTAGAATAAATTAAATTAAATAAACCAGTTGACAGAAATAATCACTTTAATTTCGACATTCCACGACAATAATTTATCTAGCGATTCATCACCGAGATTCTACAAGATTTCATCAAAAATACAGTCCACGATCTACCCTCTGTAAACAGGAAGGAACCCTTGCGTAGGTATCAAAAAATTTAAAAGAAAAAAATCACCGCTAGCCTTTCTAAATCAGAAACATCTAATTGCTTGTATTTTTCCTAATCGAAAAGATTTATGTTTTTATTGTGGCTTACATAATTTTTCCACTGAGTATCAGTAACATTATTCAATGCATTTGAATAAGTCTGAAATACATCTTCCGGTGACGACTTTGTTGCTAAAATTTTTTCGTCATAAAACCGTAATAAAGAAAGGAAACTATATAGGATTTTAGAACAACATAGCAGTTTTATTTTAATTTTATAATTCAACAAAACCAAAAAAAATATTCTTTTTAGAATTAGAAATATTTTTGATTTAGTTTGAAATTATAATCATTCTTCATGACACCCAAGATTCATAATACCTACATACCTAATAACTGAAAGATACACCTACCAATAATATACGAAAACAGCCACAAATAATAAAACACATAATGTATTATTATTTAATATTTATTAAAAAAGAAATACCTACTTGACTAGGCAATGTTTTAAATTAAAAAAAAGATACATTTTATTATCTACAGGTAATACAAATTATCAAACAGATAATATCAGTCTTAAATAGAAAAATTGACAGAATATAAACGAGAAAATGAGGTAGGTTATAAATATCTATAACTTTTGGTAAATATTTTTACTTCACTTCTGTTTTTCTTCGTTTGTTTTCTCCTTCAGTTCTTTCCTCCACAGCTTTTACAGCTTCTCCAGTTTGTGTAATCGGAATGTTCTTGCTTTCTTGGATGGCCTCAGTTCTAGGAGCAGTAATTGAAAGAACACCATCTGATGACAATTTAGATTGAATCTGGTTGGTATCGTAATTCTTAGGTAACGTGTACCTTCTAATAAAATGTCTGTAAACATGTCCATGTTCATCTTCCTTTTCTTCATGTTTTCCTTCAATAGTAATAGTATTTTCTCCCGTTAGTTTAACAGTAATTTCCTCCGGTTTGAACTGTTGAACATCTAAGTTTGCTTGAAATTGATCCTTTCCATAAGTAACTGTGGATCCCGAATCTTGTTCAGAAGCTGCAGATCTCCAATTTCTGATGTATCCAGCAGGGCAGCGTAATAATCTGTTTGCAACATCAATCGGTTGTAAAAGATCATCTGTGTCCAGTACAGTTCCAAAATGTTGATCAAAAATTCTTGATGGACGCGTATGATACGAGCGTCCCAATAAGGAATCACCCAACAAATATGGTAATAAAGACATTGTCTACTTCAAATTTCAATAATCAAAACACTTCACTTATTTATTCTATTATTTAAATGTAAATTCTTCGCACTCGTTTTCACCTCTCGAGCGTTTGAATCAAACTTGCCGGGTTCTGTTAGGAGGCGGGTTTATATAGCGAGACTGCTGATAGGATGGATCGAGAACGTTCCCGAAAAATCGACCAATGGTAAAACAAAACTTTCCATAGAATTATCGGTACAAAGCAGTGTTGCCGTTTAGGGCGACAAGTCGCCAAAATGACAACTTTTCACAGGCGAAAAAATTTCGGTACCTATTCATAGAAGGATATCAATATTTTTATACGCGTTTTATACAATAAGAAGAAATAACGTCACAATATTAATAATAATTATTATTGTTATTATCTCTCATGGAAACGCGGATGTACCTAAAAAGTATATTTTCAAATAGGTTAGATGTAAGCAAAAATGAAAAAATGAACATTGAATTATTGATTGACATATTATTAATAGTTATTTTGGACTTGAAAAGAAATAGAGATTGTTGTTTGAGTTATAAAATCGGCGAGAAACAATTCTTAAAAATGAAAAATATTTATTAACATAAATCAAACAACCAGATTCAGATTCAGACAGTGAATCAAATTAAAACATATTTTTTTGTCAAATTTTTATTCTTTGTGTACCTATAATAAAGTTTATTTTGCGTTGTTCCACAAAAACAATTTTTGTTTATTTAATTTGAACAGTTTCCTGACCTCGATATTACAAAAAAGCTGTAGTGACAAGTGGAAACTTTTCCATACAGTTGATCGATGGCGACTTTTTACTTTGTTACTCTGGCAACACTGGGAATAAGAGAGAATGATATTCGAGTCATTCGAGAGATTCTCTATTTCTATCGAATTCGAGATTGTTCGGTTCGATGACAGTTCGAAAACTTTTGGTAGTGCCTACTGCGCCTAGAGGCGTAAAGTAAATTTTTATTTTCTACAAAGATAAAATTTAATATATAAATTCATTGATACTCTTAGGACCGATTCCACCGTTGTGTTAAACGAAGTTTAAAATTACATTTTTACATTAACAATGTTATTTTAATCTCCGTTTAACACAACGGTGGAATCGACCCTTAGTTGCACAATGGTTTTGAGTTCTAAAGTGGATGATATTTATAAAAAAATGTACTTGGCTCTTATTATTAATTTTATTGTTTCTGGTACATTATTTTTGATGTTGTTTTATAAATTGTTGGAAACATTTTTGTGAAAATCCACCAAAGTTTATTTTTTGCTATTAATAGTTTACCAGTTGCAAGATGCAAATTTTATTTATATATACAGGGTTGGGAACAGTGTTGGGCATAACTGGCACATTTTTTGATCATCAGTTTTTAAATTTTAAAAATTCATAAAAAACGATATTTAGCATTATTGTACAACGTCTAAAAAATGTTTAATCTCATAAATATTGTTATGTAACATTTTACTAAAATTTAGTGTCCCTATGTAATATAATAAATATAGTTTAAAAAAAACTAAAAAACACGCTTTTAGAGCAAATCAAACTAAAAAGTAAAAAAAAAAAAATTTAACACGCTTTTATTCAAATAAGCTTAAAACAATAATAAATGGAAAATTCTAGTATTATTGTGAAAAAAGCGTCGGGCGCTCAATGTACGAAAAATATGGACAAAGCCCCACGCTTTTTTCACAATAATACCACAGCTTATACAATACAGCTAAAACACTCTCTTGGCGGCAACGGTTTGCGTCGATTTCGTCGCGCATCGCTTAAGCTCCGCCTTCGAAGGGAAAACGCGGTTTTGGTTTTCAGAAGCGTACTTAGGTAAGGTGTTGAGTCGTGCGTATAATTTCGTTGATTGTATAATTTCGTGGAGCCTATAATTTCGTTGATTGTATAATTTCGTGGAGCCTATAATTTCGTTGATTTTGTTTGAGTTAAAGGTACTGTTATTATTTTGGTGACTCTTTAGCTATGAGTAGAATGAGTGAAAAAAAAAGACATCATTCTGTTTGTGCAGTCAAAAGCTGTTTTAATAAGGGTTATACCTGCAAGAAAACATTCTTTAGTTTTCCCAAGGACCCAAACCGATAAGTACCACATTATAAGAAATTTTCATTGTTAAAAATATAATTTATACAGGGTATCCCATTAGTGCGTTATTGTTCATTATTTTGTTGTAGACACGCAAGAAAGTTTTAAATAAAAGTTATATGGATTTGAAAAATACCTACATATTTTAAAAATATCTTTGGATATACAGGGTGTCGCGTTTTTGCCTGGCAAATTAAAATGTACGTTTTTTAAATGGAACACCTTGTATTTTATTTTATGATAAAATTATTACCCTAAATTATTGTAAAGACGAATTGATACAGAAAAATTTTATCAGGTATGTGTGTGGTTACCTTTTAATAAAAGCCTTGCGGATCCACTCCTCTGCGATACCTGTCTTAAATATAACAAAAATCACGTTGAATTAGATGATTTTTCTTTTTATTGCTTTTTAAAGGCATATGATAACGCCAATCCAGATACATTTGGAAATCTGCAACTGTCAAATGATGAATTTGTAGAACTAATAATCAATATTGAAAAGATATTTCAAAATAATTTTGAAGAATTGGCTACAAAAAATAACATTTGTACCACACTTTTAGAATTAATTAACCCAATACCCTTTAGTCATCCATGCTAACGTTTTCCAAAAGAATAACTTATTTTATTGTATGTTTAATCTCAATAACTAAAAAATATACTGACAATTAGTTTGACAGAATTGTCATTTATTTAAAATTTTAAAAATAATAGCAGTCGGTTGATCAAAATATGAACGGTGATTGGCGAATTTATTTTTTTTTTGCAGTGTTCTCACTACCTAGAATGGATATGAAATATATTCGTTCAATTGAAGGCAATAGCATACTTTTTCGTTTTGTAATCTGTGCATGGATATTAGCCAATCTATGCACATACTACAAAACGAAAAAGTATGTTATTGCGTTTAACTACGAATATATTTCATATCCATTTTAGGTAGTGAGAACACTTTAACAAAATTAAATCTACAAATCACAGTTCATATTTTGGTCACCAAACTCCTATTATTTAATTTTTTTTAAATAAGTGACAATTCTGTTAAACTAATTGTCAATATATATTTTAGTTATTGATATTAAATATACATTAAAATTTTTGTGTAGACTCGATAAATAATAGCATTTTTGTTTTTATTGTGTCCACATTTAAAAAAAATAAATTTTAATCAAACTACATGATACTAATTTAATTACGAGTATTAAAACTAAAGTCCTGAAAGTTTCGGTGAAGATGAGGACAGAGCATCTGCCTTCCACGCGAAAAGCCCGGGATCGAATCTAGGCCGAGGACTAATTAATTTTTCATGTTAATTTTATTTTATAAATTAGTCAACTTCGTAAATTATTTTAAAATTAGTTATTTTGTCTAAATAACCTAAAATAATTTTTTAAATTTGTAGATTTTCGTTAGTGGGTCGTAGAAAAAATATACTGACCATATCGAGTGGATTGTTCATATCACAATCAGACGATTGAGTACTCCGCATACGACGTCGTGCTCAAACTTCGTCTTTGTGTGATATTGTTATCATATCCACCCTTGTTGAACAAACTATAATTTATTTGTTTTCTTGGTTTAAACCAAAACTTAAGTTTTACATCAGAAATAGGAACTAAATTAATTTACTTTTCAAGTTTTCTTATAAAAATCGATATTACTTTCTCCAAGTACAAATTTAGTACCTACCTAAAATAAGTACTAATTTTGTAATATCGTGTAATATTGTAATTCAAATTTCACATTACTATAAAGTTTCAAAATTCCCTACTTCGGTATGGTCAGATAAAAATTGAATATATTATATTAATAAAAACTGTCAAAGTATTACTTCTACAAATCTGTATTTCAATTAATAAGAATACATCTAAATATAACCAATATTGTTAAAATAAAAGCACAAATTCTTTATAATTCCAAAATACCATAGAGTTCCCAGACCTCAGTCGAAGCATTCGTTTATCTAGGTATAAACCCTTTGCGCGAAGAGTAACACTTGCCAGAGACATGGGGTACCACTTGATTTGCATCCACGAGCGTGACACAATTCTTTAACAATTGAAGCCCTTGGTGTAAAAAGGATCCAAGCCACAATTTGTCGTGAAGTGACTGTTTTAGCTCAAAACATTTGTTAACGAGGATTTTACTAGCCACATACAAATTATTTTACCTCTAATCCGAAAGATGTGCTATTTTTCGTAATATTTATATTTAAATAATGTTTCTAATTATATTTGACAGATTTAAAACAAATTAAAAATTTAATTTCCCAAAACTTACTTAATATGGCATGTAACCAACCTTATTACGCCAAGGTTTTCAATTTTTTCAATAATAAAAAAATTGTTTAATCCGGGCCCGACTTTTCCCTCGAATCTAACAGAGATAGCACCATTCCGTCTTGCTTGGTTCTCGACCGCCAGATCAAAGACGCCGACACGGAGTTGTGGAGCTGTATTGTATAAGCTGTGATAATACTAGTATTTTCCATTTTATTATTGTTTTAAGCTTATTTGAA